ATGCGTTTTCTCAGAGGCTGAGAATCCATAAGCATAGACTTCTCTTTCCTTATCTTCATTTCCTCTTCTTCCCAGAGCCGATGGTAAGGAGCTCGAAGTTTCGCATGGCATCATCATGCCCGGACCTTACAGCTGCAGATGATGGCTTGGATTCATAGCTCTGTTGAACCCGTTGAGGTGTGGCGAGACGTGATCCACTTGAAAATAGTCGGCTTGAACGGTTTTCGCTTGGTTCAGCTGATGAGCCAGGTCTGCTGCTAGATATCACACCTCTCTTTGAAGTACTTCCATTTCGTGACGAAGAACGGTATCTATCAAACTCTTGCTGCAACTGAAGCCAGCAAATCAAAACATACAAACTTTCTCACATTCTACTTAACCTGCGAATATTTTGGATAATTAAGTTGGACGGCTAGCAAAAGTAAGTGCAACACAGACTAACCACTTCTTTGGCAGAAGAGCGATCACCATGAATGCCTCGGCTTGAAACATTTCTTCTGGTGAAGGCCTCGATTGCGCCTGAAAATCTTTCTCGGAGGTCCTGCCCAACTAAACAGAATAGGAAATCAAGCTATCAACTTTTGGATCTTCCACTATTTGAGACTGTTCGTCATATATCTAGATACAAATTCAAAATTCTTTCAAGGGAGAAAACACATAGATAGTAGACACAATATGAATATTTATCTCTGGCGGTTCAGGGAATTAGTCCAAGTTTTTCAGCACCAAGAATCCCTCAACAATCAGTCTCAAAATTTATGAGCTTTAAGACATTTTCCGATATTTCTTTTACTAGCCCCTCTAACAATGTACCTGTAGGCTTTTCAGCTCTTTCTGCAGGTGGTCCAGGAGGGTCCAAGGCTGGTCTTGGAGTTGGCTGTTGTGAACAATAGACATAACAGAAGCAGGATAAGATTTTGGACTATTGAATTGGTATGAAATTTGGTTCCCCACACGTGAAATCAATAATAGGACTAACCCTTGGTCTCGAGCTAGAGCCACTCTGAGGATATTTCAAGATTGTCCAATCAAACACGTAGTCGAGCTGATAACCTACATAAATAGTTCATTCCATTAAAAAAAAAAAACAAGCTATGGATAAGTCCCACAAAACTGCATTGACCATAAACAATCTAATAATAGAGAGGGGACAGAGAACAAACACATCTATGAATAAGTTTATAACCTTCACGAATGAAAAGGTCCCTGAAAAGTCTTCTCAGATATGAATAATCTGGTTTGTCCTCAAATCTCAATGATCGACAGTAATGGAAATACGAGGTGAATTCTGATGGTTGGGACTTGCAAAGAACCTTCAAGTAGTAAAACAGTGCTATGTCAAAATCTACTGGACATCTGAATACATTATCATCGTACAAAACCTTAACAATGATATACCTCTACAGAAGTAAGCATCTTCTTTTCACTAATCTTGTCATACTTCTGCTTCTTCGTACCAGCTTTTAAACCTTGCCACGGAAGACTGAGACAGGAAGAGATATGGACTCGAGTTTAATATTTTCATTTTCTTGAAGACATTATAAGCTAATATGCAACCAAGAAAGCTTCCTACCTTCCTCGTAGAAAATACATCAACACATAACCAAGTGACTCCAGATCATCTCTTCTACTTTGCTCTGTAAGCATGCATTAAAAAAACGAGTCAGCAAGGAAGACGAGAGTTTTCAAATGATTCAGACAAGAAAGCCATGGATGTATGAGATGACCGCAGCTCTTACCAATCCCAAGGTGCGTGTTCACACTTGCATACCGAGCAGTTCCTGTAAGATTCTTGTTTTCCCTGTAAATTTAGAAGGAGTTCTAATAAAGCAAGCTGGAAGAAGAGTGCATAAAGGAAAACATCGAACACAGGTCCTGATTTCACGAGAGAAATCGTAAGAAAACACCAGTGCAGCATAAAATCATGTTTCATTAGTGAGATAGGCAGGGAAGATCACCTAAAAAATTTCTAACGAAATACAACAGGTTCCTAGACAAAACAAGCACAGATATCTGAAAAGGAAGGGTAAGAGTTTCCAAATCTCACTTGTATGGTATATGCTTTTGTGTCTGAAGATCTTTGTATTTTTTAGCAAGGCCATAATCAATGATATACACCTGAGGTTGAAAATAAGTTCGGTTAACAAGACGGCTTTAGTACTAGTCATATCCTGAGAATAAGACCAAGATTTATGCTAGGGAAACATAAACCAACTCATGCGGAAACAGTAGGACTACCTGGTTTGCTTTGCGCCCAAGACCCATCAAAAAGTTGTCCGGTTTAATATCGCGGTGAAGAAAACCACGCGAATGCATGTACTCAACTCTGCATATCTGCATTTAAACACAACATATTCAAAGAAACAGATTAGCATCGTTCTCAAAGACCAACCTAACGTAATAAAATAAAGGGCATACACAGTACTTACCAACTGATCTGCAAGCATTAAAACAGATTTCAACGAAAACTTCCGATTGCAGTAATTGAATAAGTCCTCCAAGCTGGGTCCAAGAAGGTCAATAACCATGCAACTGTATTCACCCTCCACTCCGAACCATTTGAGATGGGGAACACCCGCTATTTATACGAAAACAAAACATGTCAAGCTACCGGAGAGTTGAAACTAAAACTTCGAATAAACTACCCGAACAAACACAACTTACTTCCGCCTTGAAGAAACATATATATTTTCGATTCATACTGCAGTTGAGGATGCCTCGCCTTCACAGGTTCCTAGTGTCACAATTTTAGAAAGGGAAACACACACAGAAATTCAAAATAGAGTAACAATGAAACTATCTCCAATCAAAAACTAGTCTTACTAAATTCAGGATCCAGTATTCAAAATTGAAACTTTTCTCAGAACAAAATCAATAAATTCATAGTTAGAACATCATACCAGCTTAACTGCGACTTCTTCTCCAGTTTGGATATTGATCCCTAAAACACACACATACATATACATAAAAAATATCAAATTTTTACACTTGAACAAGCAGTAAACAAACTCAATGCAAGAACTAGAAAACACACAAAAGATTGATTGGTTTCTTCATACCTAAATAAAGTTCACCGAACGATCCACTACCGAGTTTCCTACCCAACTTAAACTTTCCACCGATGATGTGATCAACCTTCGGGTTCCGATCCATCTTTTTCGATAAAAATCACGACTTTAACAAGAACCCACAATCCGATTCACTAGCCGAAACGACTAAATAACAAAACCCATCAGTAAAACACCAAATACGGGAAATTTCGTATTGCCCAGCAAGCTAAAACAGCGAATGGTGAAGTAACAGTGACGATTGAAGCTGAATTTCAGGTAAAGTTTAGGACTTTGCAAGAAAAAGAGTGTGACTAGTAATTTCTTTGCAAGAAGACAAGAAAATCGGCGTGGAGGATTTGGTGGGATTGGAATAATCGGATCTGGGTTTTTTTTTTGCAGGGAAGAATTTCTGGGGAAATT